TCGTAAAAACGCGTTTTTAATAAAACTTCGAGTATACGTAGAAAACGACATCGATTAACCGAAACATCGAACACTGCCAAACTTTACGATTAAATCGAGAAAACTTATTTAAAAACAGCGTCGCATCAGGAAACGATCTCGTCTAGAGTCGCAAAACGGTTTTATCGCAAAACGGCTTGGAAAGTCCTAAAACGCGATAAAAGCGTACTCGCGAGTTTAACGAAAGTCCAGCCCAAAGATACGACAACGATTCGACGATTTACGCGCAGAAAGAAGATAAATGTCAAGTTTGAGGATAAATAAAGATTTTCGTGGAAAAAAAAGAAAGATACGGATAAATGGAAGATTCTCGATAAACTCGAATCTTGGCGAAATGGAAGGACTAAGCCGCCTAGGAAGGGAGTATATAAACAAGAGGTAGAGGACAGAAGCGGGGGACGAATTCTAGACCTAGAGAGGCGGCTGTTAGATTAGGCAAATTTAGGACTTAGGTGTTTAGACTAGCAAGCCGGATCCTTAGAACATTTTGATATCTAAGTTCCGCGATTCTCTTTTTAACAGTAGTCAATCTCTTATTCAATAAAAGCTCTTACGCAAATTCTTTATTTACACTCTGTTCGTCGTTATTTTTGTTCATCCATATTCTGTTAACTTTGTTCTTTTTAGTGATTTCTGCAGAGATCTAGGACCTCGGGAGAATTAGGGTTTTCCCTAAGTTTCCATATTTGACGGAAAATTGACAGTGTGAATCTCGGTTCCCACAGTAGGAAGGAGCTATCTGAACGTTGTATGCCCCCTTCCTTCTCCTCATGACAGGTGATCTCATTAAAGTCTCCTATCATACGAGTTATCTACAGACCCTCCCTGAAGTGCGCCACTTTTCCCATACTAAATCTCTCATTTCTAGTACATGATCTCCATAAACAAACGTCATATAGACTTTTATTCCATCAATGACTGCCTCAATGTCAATCATTCTGTTATTAGAAAATAAAACATTAACTTGAAAATCATCCATAAAAGATAAAACTAAACCACCGCTGAGACCAAGTGGCTCAACGGTAAACAAACGATCAAATCCTAAGTCGGCCTGAATGTCTTGCAACAGCAGCCTACTGTATTTCGTCTCAGAAAGGAACACAAGTCTTGGGTGATGCTTCTGACACATCTTCTTAAAGCGTCGAACTGTGAGGTTGTTCCCTATCCCTCGACAGTTCCAACTGAGCGTCCTCATTGATGATGTGGGGATGGGTCTTTGGTACCCATCAACCCATCATCCTTTGTTGAAAAGTGGCGTGAAGACAGTAGTATGGCGAGAACGCTTAGCCTTCTCTTTCTCTCCCTGCAACTTATGCGTACTCGATATGATCAATCGCATCCGTAGAGACCCTCGACGAAGAGACTCTATCTTCCTTGAATGACACCCCGATGGGGGATTCAGATGATTTCCAGTCCTTTTGCTCCTGGCTCTCTTAGTTGCATTAGCAGACTTGGAAGAGATCATCTTCTTTCATCTCCTCATCGAAGAGATCATCTTCTTGCATCTCCTCCTCCAGCATGACACTGTTTATGACATATTTTATGAATAAATATACATGATAATTATATTTTATGTAGATTTATATTTATGGGAAATTTTTTAGAAGATAGAAATAACTAATACATGATCACTAAAATAAATATATCTAAATATGACATTAATTAATACAATAACTAAGTAATAATCCGCGCAACACTTTTGTTATTTTTAAGATAAAATGACATTATGTCTGTTTAGCATGAATATTGGTTTAGTTTTATGTTGTTTTTTAATCTTCTAAAATATAACTATCATTCTAAATCCATATTGATTTTGGTTTGTTTGGTTTAAATGTTTGATGTTTTTGATTTTTTCGATGATAACCAAAAACTATTGTTATTTGTTTGGTTTCGTTTTATATAAATTTTAGACATTTTTTATGTCGAACTAATAGTTTCCTATTATAATTTCTAAAGACATGTAACATCAAATAAAATCTAAATAATATTTGAAAAATAAAATTATTAACATAATACATTTCATTTCAATTTGAGCGATAGTGAAAGAAAACATTAAAAAAAAAATTCAACTTCAATAAGAATTAAAATTCTCACTTGTGGTGAATATTTAGTTATATAGTGGCTCGTGTCAATGTGTACATGTATGTATATGTAAAAGTATATAAATGTGATGATAAATATATGAATATACCGTTAATTAAGATTTAAAATTCTTTTGTTCAAAATAACACATGATAGTAAATTCTTAAATAAAATTAAGTAATAAGAAAAAAAACTTAGAAACTAATAACATTTTTTCATATGAAGAAAATCAAATTGTACGTCTAAACAATAAAAATAATATATATTATAAAGTGACATCTTCATTTGGTACATGAATTCTGTTTTTAATCGATTTTGTGATTTTTTATTTCTTTTTTAAAGCTTTTCTGATTTCTGATTTTTTTTCTACCAATTTAAATTTGTTTCTAATTCTTGGTCTGATATGAAAACTTTATAAAAATGTTAATATTTGACTAAACTAAAGATCCTACTTTACATGTGGTGTTTTTCACCTCAGGTTCTTTAATTTATAATCAATCACCTTATTTGTTATTATTGTTTACCGAAGCCTCAACCATGACAACTTCGGCAAGATACGAAACTTTCAATTTCTACAAACATTTTCATCGCAACATTTTAGTTGATGCGAATCTTAATGATTTTGTAATTTTTTACAATAAAAATATTATTCAATAGTTTCACGTAGAAAATTTTAATTTATTAATACAAAAGCTAAAAATGTAGGAAAATGAATTAATTTTAAAATAGTGTATAAACACATTAAATAAGGAATTTAAAAAATTAATGTGTAAATACATTTATTTTCAAATGATTGTAAGACCTACACGTGTCAATTATAGTGTGAACGCATTTATTACAATGATTCTCTTTTAATATATAAGGGATATAATCATATGATTATAAAATCTTACATATATTTAAAATAAGTTAAAATGTTTACTTTGCTTTAATTTTATGTTTAACTAAATTAAAATTTGTATCAAAATATTACTATGAAAATAATAAAATCTAGAATATTAACATAATTTTATTTTTAATAAAATTTACATTTAAAAGTTTTATTGATATATATAGTGCAGAAAAACAACTAATTTAAACGTGAAATGTAGTTCAAAAACGATTTTTTTCCAGAAACATGTTGAGGGTGGATACCATGCATTTAATTTCAAGTATTGAGTAAGATCTATATGAAAAATGTCTTTATAACTGTTCCAAAAACTACGGAATAAAAACTATAGTACAGTAAAACCTCTATAAATTAATAATGTTGGGACTTTGAAATTTTATTAATTTATAGAGATATTAATTTACGAAAGTTTCCTTATTTAGATTTTTTTTTATTTTTTTCCATTATTATTTATAAAATAAAAAAAATATATTTGATTTTAGCCTATGTACGTTATTTAAATTTTAGAAATTTGACTTTTATATTATTTTATTATCTTATTTGGTGTATATTTTTATGTTTCATAGAATTGTTACATGGTTTTCGATATAATTTAACTAAATATTATCAAAATATATTGAAATGTATAAAAAATAAAATTATATTTATAGTAAATATAAAACCCCTTACTAAATATTATCAAAATATATTGAACTATTTTTAAAAATAACAGTATTTTATAGTAAATATAAAACCCCTAACTAAATATTATCAAAATATATTGAAATGTTTAAAAAAAAATAACAGTATTCTTATAGTAAATATAAAACCAACAATATAATTTTTAGATTGTGCTTATATAAAATTATATATTGCTAGATTATTAATTTATGATTTTACTGGGACCATATATTTACATGGCAGTTTTAAAAATATTATTATCTTATTATTTTATCAATTTGTGTCATATTTTACACTGGCCCAAGTTGGGACCGGTGAAATTTATTAATTTATAGAGATTATTAATTTATCGAGTATTAATTTATAGAGGTTGTACTGTATCCTGCTTTTAATTTGAGTAGCAGTTAACAAATGTAGAGCATGGCAGACAAAAGTAGAGTATGGCAGAGGCAAATATTAATGGCATCTCCAACCCAACTCTATTTTTTACTTCAAAACAGAGTTAAAGTGATTATAGAGTAAAAAATGCTTCAATTCCACTTCATATCTTACTCCATAATGAGATTTACTCCATAAATGGAGTCATCTATTTTTTCTTTGTTCACTATTCCTTTATGAAGTTGGAAATAGAGTGAGGTTAGATCATTTTTACTCCATAATCACTTTTACTTCAGGAAAAAATAGAGTTTTATATTGGAGATACTCTAAGACAATACTTGTAAATGAAGCATATGCGGCTAGTGCTCAAACTACACACGTTGTAATAGATCGACATGAATATTATACACTGTCACACAGACAAATCAGTTGATTCTATATTTTTCACTTGAAATTATATCATCAAATGTATGAATATTTAGTTTTGTTTTTACATAAGTGATTTTGACCTAATCCAACTAGGTCGATAAATGAGCAAACTCGTATATACACTAATACACATCAAGCAGTCTTTACACAGCTCGGTTGTTCTACAGAGAAATTGAACCCTTGGTTCTGCTCTAAGTAACTCTTCAGTGGTTAACTTCTGCACATCACATAAGGTTTTTGTTGTTTAAAATTCATTCCAGTGAGCTGATTATTAGTGTCCTCTTTAATATAGTTATGTTAATCAAGATCAAATCTCTTTTTAATAAGTGAATCTTTATAAATCTTTTATTTTAGGTGTTTCCAGTCAAAAATCCCAATTAAAGACAAGCTTCCTAAAGAACGAGTAAAAAGTAATTAATAATAGAGAGGAGATGCAAAAATAAAAACAATAAAGTAAACATCCTTTTGAAAGACAAGTCACTTTTATGTTTTCTCTTTTAGTTAGTTGCTGAGACTTATCCATATGATAGTGATAACGACTTCCTCTAATCCTCTCATCCCACGTAAAAGCTTTATCGCATTATCGTCTGGTTAATATTGGCGGGATATTATTTTACTCATTTCTTATTGCTTTCACATGAGTTCGAGAAAATGATATGTCAACTTAAGAAACAAAGAGTGTCTATTGGAAAAAAAATATAAGAATAAAAATCAAGTGTAAACAAGAGTGTCTATTGGAAAAAAAAACCCTCTCTCTCCCTTATCCTTTAGCGACAAAGAACAACCAACCTTTTTTCAGATCTGCTCCGGCGTTGTCCACCGCGTACGCGCGCGTCCGGCCGCCGGAGGCTTGCCTCCTCCTTGCTCTGTTTTCGTCTTTGCTCCCCAGTCACTTCCCCTCTACTATCGCTTTGTTCTGGGCTCTGGTCAAGCGTCTTTTGTTGATTCTGGTGACCGCTCGCGAGGTTCGTCGGAATTGCTATCGATTCGGCTTTGTTCTGGAGTCAGGACGCGGTGGTGTGCAGTGGTCTTGGCCGTGGAGTCGGCTTTTCTTGGCTGAGAGAGAGGATTGTGTTTCCCTTTTAAATCTCTCTCTCGTGACCTTCTTGCTCGGGGTGGTGGATTTGGAGCACTCTCAGGTTGGCTGTGGCGTGTCTACGGATTTTCTCTGGTTGTAGTGTGGGGCTTCTTCGTTTGGAACCGGGAACCCTTACGGCGTCGTCGGGGTTCGTCTCCTCTTCGATGGAGCCTAGTTTAGCTTCGGTAGTGGTTCACTTCGGAGACGGGTCACGGTCTGGTATGCAGGCAGGATGATGGTACCAGATCGGTTCCAGCTCGTGTTGACGTGCTGAGCAGAGGCCTTCCCGGTCGTCTATGGCCGTTTTAAGCTCTCCTTAGTACTTAACCTGACCTTTCAGTTTCAACATCTCGTCATCGGCTTGATAGCCTTGGTTTGGATGCGGCCGTTTCTAAATATCAGGGTGTTCTCTTGAGCTCTATTGTTTATCACCGTAGACACCGGTGGTTAATTTTTTCGAATCACAGTCACTGTTTCTTCGGTTCTCGAAGGCAGCAAGAGACGTCCTGGCTTTTGTCTAGGTCATGGCGGTGTCCCTCTTGCGCTTAGCTCACATCCCAGTGCCAGAGAAGGATCACTTGATTCTTCAACGGTAGTGTTGCTTGGCTGACATATGTGCAGGTCGTGTTAGAGTCTTCTCGGTTGTTGTGTGGCATGGAGGTCCGGCCTTTTTGGTTGTACAGGTTTGGTGGCGGCAGTAGCGAGTTCTTGCTCGGGTTGGGAGGTGGTTTCAAGCGTTGCGTGACGTGTACAAGCTCGGCTTTGGTGGTTTACAAGGCTTGTGGTAAGTATCCGAAACACTCCCCTATTAGTCGTCTCGTGCTTCATGGTCAGTAATGGTTATAAGTTCGATGGAGTTCATCGGGAGCTAGCTACTCCGGAGACGACAAGGGAAGTCCCGGCATCCGAGGCAACAAGGAGAACCTCACATTCTCTCGATCTCGTTGATGGTAGAGAACAGCAACCGATTTCAAAGGAAACCGAAAAACAGATTAGCGAAATGTGCCGGGTTTAGTGGGCGGGCGAAGCTAGTGTTGTAATAGGTTGATTTTGAAAATTTTGTTCGAAACGAGTTTGTAACCGGATCTGAAATTCCTGATTCTCGGGTTGATTAATATATATATTAAGAAAAAAAAAAAAAAACTTAAGAAATAAAATCATGTCTTTGCGACATGAAACAACAGTAATGATATTGATGCGCCGTCTTAACCAATACAATAGTGTTGGGTGAAACACGCAATATAAACCCTTTTATAAAGATTTATTTACATTATTTTCACTGTATTTCTTTTAACTTGAGCTTTAAAACCTGAAACAAATAAAAAATAAAAAAAAAAATTTTTAAAAAAAACAACCACATGGAAACATTTTTTTCAGCTTTAGTTGATAATGGTAAACGTACAAATTTCTTATTGTTTTATCTTTTAATAACTAAATTAAATTTACTTAATTATGAGTCTTTTTTAATAATTTAATAGATTAAAATGGACCTATAAAACAAAAACAAAACTAATGGATCTCTGGTAATATTCAGAGTATCTTCAATCTTACTCCATAATTTACTATAAAATGAAATGAGAAATGGAATAATGAATAAACAAAAAAGTAATTACTCTATAAATTATTCACTATTCCATATTTCACTCCATTTGCAGGAAAATTATGGAGTGGGGTTAAAAATGCTCTCATGTTGCCATGGGTAAGAACCGGCATCCATCTTTTCGCATTCTAAACATGCATTACCATGATCTGAGGAAATGAGAGTATTAATATGCAAAGTGGCAGATATGTAATTTAAAGAAAATCACAAAAAATATTTTATAAAAAATAAAGAAAAGGTTTAGTTAAACCATCGCTTGACACCTACTCTTTCTTTATAAATGATACAAGTCCTCCTCTTCCCCAAACACATCTTCTCCTTGTCGCAGAAAAAAAGTGAGACAAAAAAAACATAAATATATTCAATCAAGATTTCGAGAGAGAACAAGAAACATGAATAACCAGAATGTAAATGATCATAATCTTCTATTCATTTCTCAGATGTACCCGAATGTCTATGCTTCATCAGTACCACCACAAGGTTTGTCCATTCTACAGTTATAATCTTTTTATATCTTTATACGTATTTAACAAAAACCCAAAACTGATTATACAAATATCTTCAAGTGGGTCTTTTTTATTTTTCTTTTATAATATGTTTGTCTTATGACTCTTATCTTAGTCTTTTCACAAATTTGTATGATACTAAGAGAGCAAAGACTTGAGACTATTTGTTAAGTTAAACATTAGTTTCGGTGCGCTTTTTCTTGGTCTAGCAGTAGATTCAAAACCAGTGCGAGCAAGGAGGAAGAGAAAGAGCAAGACTATTGAGCTGGCCGAGGAAGGCGGAGATGGAAGCAATGGGTGGTTTAGGAAGAGGAAATTGAGTGATGAGCAAGTAGGAATGCTAGAGATAAGTTTTGAAGTTGAGCATAAGCTTGATTCCGAGAGAAAGAACCGTCTTGCTTCCGAGTTAGGGCTCGATCCACGTCAAGTGGCCGTCTGGTTCCAGAACCGCCGTGCACGGTGGAAGAACAAGAGGATTGAAGATGAATACACTAAACTCAAGAATGCACACGAAAACGCCGTCGTTCAGAAGTGTCTTCTTGATTCTGAGGTGCGTGCTAATCTTCTCTTTTAGTAGTGTATTAATTTAGTAATGACATCACTCAGTCTTAAGTCATAAATTAATGAAACATATAATTTTTGTTAACAAAAAGAATAAACGAAACAAAGTGTGTCATTCTGTGTAATTATCTTTCCGTACAACTTCCTTCGTTTTCTATAATGGTCATTCACTTGCTTGTCTTAGTCACTGGGCCTCTAATCACTAGGCCCACAAAATAAAACTCACCAAATCAAACTCATTAAACAGTATTAACTATTTATGGTAAAGTATTTTAGTTAATCAAATCAAGTTATTATTACAGGTTCTTCACCTAAGAGAACAGCTTTATGACGCTGCAAGAAAGATCCAACGGTTGGCACAAAGAGTCGAAGGTGCCTCAAGCAACAGTCCAGTCTCATCTTCTATCTCCGTCGAAGCCAATCAGACTACGCCGTTATACGGAGATTACCAAATCGAAGACGACCGTGACGCTTACGAGAACTTGTTCTACTCGCCAGAATACATTGATGGATTAGAATGGATGAGCCAACTTATGTGAAAACAACTAGCTAATCTAATTAGTATAAAGTTCATAAATGATGCGGTTATTTGTGATAAGTTTACTTATATGATTGGTGATATTTATTTATTTTTTTTTTTTTTGATAACCCAGTATCGATTGGTGATATTTATAACGAAGCAGAATGTAGTAAAACTATGGGTCTGGTTAGGTTGTGTACTATTGTGGATATCTATAACGAAGCAGAATGTAGATAAAACTATCTCTAAGCATAATTCCTTACTTATTAATTAGGTTGAAAGCTGCTTTAATTTTTTTGACAATATGGTCCATGTTGGACAAAAGATGTACTATTAATTTGTTAATTACAAGTAAATTGTGATTTCGCTTTCTTGTTATATGTTTAATACATAAAATTACTTACTGTTGACTATTGCCAGCAAAATTTTCATTTTGTTTGACGATACAACCAGGGGCGAAGCCAAAACATTGACTATGATGATATGTGCACCCATATTTTTATAAAGATTGGCCGTTTTGCATGTAAGAATTTACAGAAATCAGTCAAATGAGATATTTATTCTTGCTGGACACCCATGAAATCTCATCTTCTATATCTTCTTTGTCAATTTTTATTTTTTTGCACCCATTACAAAAAATCATTCTAGCTTCGCCCTTGGATACAACCTTAGACAAAATTATACTCGAATATATGTGCATGGGTATAAACTAATCCCTGTTATATTTTTCTATTTTTGCAAACGTATCCCCCTTTCTTATCTAGGAAATAACTATCCAACAACAAAGTTATCTATATCAGACAAATTTAACTACTCAAACTCAACCATAACATATTATTAAAAGAAAAATTACAATTAACAAACAAAAAATTGGAAATTTTATATTTACTAAGAAACTAGGTAAAAAAAGTTATATGTCTCTTCGGGGTCTGATAAAATTGGAACGATACATAGGAGATTAGCATGGCCCTTGCACAAACATGCACAAATAGCAAAATGATCCAATTTGTTTTTCTTTTACAGAAAAAAAGAAGAAGTTATATTTACAAATATAGTGTGATACTTACGTAGATTATCACTGACCAAGAATATGGACACTGCTTGTCACAATGATAAAAAAAAGGAGTACGGAAAATTGGAATCTATATCCTGATAGAAAATAAAGCATGTCTTATGGTCAGATTGGTACGTACGTGTTGATATATGGACTGTGGCATATATATTTAAGAAAATATAGTACGTAATTTTCAGTAGAAAAACCTTAACACCAACAACAATAATAATATAATGTGTTTTCTTTAAGAACTTTTTATCATCATCTAACATATTTATTGGTATGGTATAGAAACTAACGGCTAAAGGTATCGCATTGGCAGTTCACATACAAACACAAACAAAACGACGATATAACTTTAGTGTGGACGATAATATTTTGCCAAAACTTAGAAAAGATTTTCGGATAAAATGGAACTTAATTAGGTAACAAAATAAATGTGGGTTCACTTCATGTGACCACAAAATTGGATAGCTTATGACTATAGGATGGTCCAATATCGACTCTAGCAGCCCTTTATCAAAAAAAAAAAAAAATATCGACTCTAGCTAGTATATATCTTGCTATACGTATTTTTACTATAATCAGTTTCTTATTTGATCAAAAAGATTCAGATAATATATGATGTCTGTCCACGTCTAGAAACATGCATAAATACAAATATAATATAAAAACCTTATCACTAAGTTTTTTCTATACCAAGCGAAAACTGTAAACCTAAGAAACATCTCACAAATTGGCTAAATTGAAAAAGAGTTAATGTGTACTTTTACTCAACACACATTTTAATTGATATTTTTTTTATCATAATCACTGTAAAAATATTCTTATTGATATATAAGGTGTTCTAAGAAATAGCAACTTAGCATTCCTGGTTCTAATAGTCCCATGTCTCTTATATCCTCGCCAGACCAAGGTTTTGTACCTACTTGTTGTCCCTCAATTGTGTGTGAGCTAAATGGTTGCATAAAGTTCAAGATTCTGTCAAGTTTATTTTCTTTTTTTCTTTTTTTTTTTTGAGAAAGAGATTCAGATTCTGCCAAATTAACCAGGAAGAAACTGACAACTATACATGTGTATATATAGAGACATGTTAAATGCGTATATATGTGTGTCCAAAGTTTGCAGGATATTCCTAACAAAAAGTGGAATCAAGAAGTGATAAAAAGAACCCGATTGGTGCAACTATAGGAAATACGGATTGATATTAAAGTTTAAAGAAACCACAGTCTATGGGGTACTTTTCAAAGTTGAAGTCAGGTTCATATTCATTGGACTATAGAATGATATGTGTCAAGATATCATGGATTGATGTGTTGAAAGTCGGTCATCTTTTCTGGTATATTTAACTTAATTTTACATTATTTTTGATATTTTTTGTACGTTTTAGATGATACTTTAAAAACGACAACAAATGAAAACAAACATATATCACAGTAAAACATCTACATTAAATAGTTCAAAAATATATGTTCGGTTTAATTAGATGACTATACCTAACCTTTACTAATACAATGGATATCTTTCTGTTTTAAAAAAAAAAAACATAGGATACGTTTCATAACCAAAATGGACGCTGTAGCATTCACTTGCCTCGATCGTTTAGTACGCATGCCTGGTCTGGGGAATAGGCAAAAGAACCGACCGCTAAGGACATCCTGATTTTGTACAACAATTTTATATGTAATGGTGTACTATAAAAAAAATTTTGAAGAACAAGGGCATAAATTTGTAGTTTAGAGAAGGACATTACAAGTTTTTTTTACTAGGTTATTAGACCAAAGATTTGTAGTTATAATAATTCTCACATTATTGCTGAAATTTTTTTTCTCACATTATTACTTTTGTCCAGAGGGTTCAGATCGTTTGGTCCATCCATGATCTATCCACCTCATTTACTTGGTGCAGAAGTTGTGTGTTTCTCTTTTTTTGCTCTCTGAATTAGTACATGCAATAAATCTATTAATTGTTCCACAATTACATGACTCGCCATTACTCAATCAGCAAAAAGCTAGAGCAAATATGGAACGACTTAGATAAGATTCTAGATAACAACTCGTTAGGCATTAGTCAGGCTTTAGGGTTGGACGTTAGGACCTAGTTCCTAGATAATAAATCAGGGATTAATCAAAAATCAAATCGAAAAATTAATTTTTGTATTTTTATTATATTAATATGTGTATATATTACAGTATGCGTGATTATCCAAACTGTCTGATGTGTCCAAGTGGTATGGACCATTGTTCTGAGTATGCATAGAGACTAGTATCCATCGTTTATGGTTAACAACCCGAATTTGACGCCCCATATTACATTTTTCTTCATTCTATTAAGCAATTTTCTCACATCGGTTAGACACAAAAAGAGGTGAAATTTTACTCTATATATAGTCCTATGTACTAAACAAAAGATAAGTTATTTGGAATTTATAATCGGACTAAAAATATCTAAATAGTTTATAATTTAAGGCCTTATCTAGGCCGATTAATCGGTTAATTGACCGACTAATCGGTTAATGGGTTTATTAATCATCCTCCTATTTTGTTGTCCAATTTTAACAAAATCGTGACAGTAATGATCCAAATTGTGACTAATCGGGCGCCTCGGTGGATATGCATTCGAATTTTATAACATAGACATAAATTCCTCACCTATGTGTGCTAGGTTCTAATTCCCATCCTTTGTTTTCTTGCTCAATTTCTTCCTTTTAGTCAAATGTCCAATCATTTTCTAAAGATTCTTGAGTTATATTCAACATGAGTTTAACATGATTTCTGTTAAAAAGACTAATCCTTTGTTATTCAAACATCAATTAAAAAGAAAACAATTCAAAATCCAGTGTTTATTTTGTAAAAGTTCGGAAATTCATTGTTATTGAACAATATTTAAATTATTCATTTAGAATAGTTTAAACGTTTCTAGAGTATTTGAGAGGGGTTTCTTAGTTATAAAAATTAAATCCACATCTCATAAATTAGATAAGATTCTAGAATGGTTTAACAAAATCACACCAAATTATTTTATTCACCTATAATAATCTTTAAATTCATTAAAAATCAAATCACTTAAATTTGAGATTCAATACACCCTCTTAGCAATTCTTAAAAAGCTCTAGTTTATTTATTATACATATATAATACTAGGTGATTTTCTCTTGCTAATACACATATATAAATATTTTTAAATATATTAATAATTGGTTAATAGTTTACTTTCGATTTTATTTTATAATTTATATGTATAATTTCTATTAATAATATAATGTTGTTTTAATTAGACAGTTTATTTTGAATATATAATATATTGTCAGTTTGGTTATCACTTTAGTATATTAGATAACATCAATTTATCAAAATTCAGCGATTACATATTTTTGTTCAAAATAGATTACAATTTTAATTAGATTTTTTATTTTCATTTAGATTTATTGTTCTCTTAGATATGTAAAAGTATTTTAGTAATATTATGTATAAAATGTTATATATTGTTTTGAAAACCTTAAAAATAAGTTAAATAAAGTGTTGATAGATAAAATTCTATATTCAAAATTATATAACTGAATATAAAGATAATATTTCAAAATCTTATGTATATATGTTTTACAAAATCATAAACGTTAATAATTAGTTAATATTAGTTATTAATTTGTTTTAAGGTATTCCGTAATTAATATATATATATATACATATAAATAAAATATTATTATAAAATAATATGTTTTGTTTGTGGTTAGACCTATGATTTTGGATATAAAAAAATTTATTAGTCTAATTACTTATTTTTTTGGGTATATTGAGTGATGTATTCCTTTAGAAGAAATTATTAGAAATACCACAAATTTAAGTACCACTTTTAAAAAAAAACGCAAATCAAAAAATATACTAACATTTGGGTTTATGTTTTAGTGATTATTGTTTAGGGTTTAGTATTAAGGGGTTGGGGGTTGAGGTTATAAATTTTCTATC